TATACTGCACAGACCACTCTTGGAATACTGCATCCAGTTCTGGTCACCACAATATAAAAAAGATGTTGAGACTCTAGAAAGTTTGCAGAAAAGAACAACAAAGATAATTAGAGGACTGGAGGCTAAACCGTACAATATATGGATGTAGGAACTAGGTATGTCAAGACTAATGAAGAGAAGAGCTAGGAGTGACATGATAGCAGTCTTCCAATATTTCAGGGGTTGTTACAGAGAAGAGGGGATTAACCTTTTCTTGAAAACATCTGAGGGCAGGACAAGAAGATACAAGTGGAAGCTTAACAAAGAGAGATTCAAGCTAGAATTAAGAAGAAATTTTCTGACAACGGGAACAATTAATCAGTGCTACAGCTTGCCTCCTAAAGTTGTGAGTGCTCCATCACTGGGAGTTTTCAAGATGAGATTGAACAACCACTTGTCCGAAATGATATAAAATTCCCTCCAAGAACTCCCTTGAAGAACTCCAACAAGAACTCCTTTCCAAACCTATTATTCTAAGTTCTATGCATATGTATACCCTTGAAAAATATTCATCAGTTTAGCTCACATAAGGTGGGGTCCCTTTCTCCCAGTGTGGCCACCTAAGCATCAATAAATTTTCATTTGTATGTTCAGATATCCTCTTAACTTCAGCTGTGAGGGCCCTTTCTAAGGTTCTGTCTGTAATCTTCAAATTTCCATCTGCTGATAAGAAGAAAAAATACCTATAGTTGAACAGTTTATGTGCAAATTGCACCAACTAAACATTTATTTATTTATTTATTTTTAGTTGTCAAGCTAACAGGTAAAAGTATAAACATAATTTGAATACATAAAAAGAGTAAGAGTAAAAAGGAATATTCTAATGTAATTCACCAAGTCAAATCTACCTTACCCTTCATGAATTATGACATTAAATGTTAATAATATTAGTTGTTTTGCATATATCATACCTAAAATAAGATTTTGAAGTTTAGAGTTAGCAATGTGTGGAAAGGAATTTTAGTGTGGGGGGGAGCTTTTATACCAATTGCTGCCTACCCAAAACTCTAAAAATCCCTGGGCTCATAAAATAGAAGCAATTTTACTTTCAAGAGTTGACAGCCTTACTTCACTGACAAGATGGCAGCCAGAACAAATATGCAGAATATACTATTCATCTTGTTTTGATTTTTCTATCTGTGGTCACCTGTTTTTGTGAATGTTTTAATCCTTAAAAATAATCTGCTAGCCAAAATTATATTACTGAAAATACACATTTTTATTTTAAAAAGAACTCTATGTAGAAAAAAAGGGCACATTTTGTCTGCTGCACATTGTGCCTTTGTGCTCGTTAAATATTCTAATTAATTTGAAACAAACAATACCATTTTTAATGGCTCATTCCATAATTCCTTCTGCAAATACATTCAGCTCCTGAATAACCTTCTCCTCTATATCTACTTGGTGAATTGGGAATTTACTCCTGCTCAAACAGGAAACTCTATACCATTTTGGACAAATGGCTGTCCAGGATCTTTTTGAAAATCTCCAAGGATGGACCATCCACAATTTTTGAAGGCAAGCCATTCCACTGATTAACTGTTCCCACTCTCAGGAAATTTCTTCGTAATTCTAGATTGAATATCTCTTTAATGATCTTCCACCCATTACTTCTTGCCCTGCCCTCAAGTACTTTGGAGAACAGGTCAGCCCCTTCTTTTCTGTGACATCCCTTTAAGTACTAGAAGACTATCACCCCCAGTTCTTCTCTTTGTTAGACTAGACATACCTAATTCCCTCAACATTCATCATAACCACAACTAAACTTAAACCGAATGGATGATTAATTGATTGATTGATTAGATGCTATGCTATCAAGTCAGTATTGATTCTTAGCAACCACAAAGGTAGACTTTTTCCAGAATAGTCTTTTAGGTCTCTCAGCAGTACATTAATTGCTGATGTAATCAGTCCATCCACCTTGCCATCACTCCATCTACCTCCTTCAACTTTCTCTAGTATTACGTACTTGTCAAGGGAGCTGGATAATAGTATACAGTGTCCAAAATATGATTATTTGAGTCTGGTCATTTGAATCTTGTGTGAGGACTTTGATGATTTTTTTTTAAATTTGTAATTTTATTATAACATATATATGACATTCACATAACATACAACATATACATATCTTATCTCTTTTAAACATTGTTTCTTCATGGTTTTCTTTCTATTATTTATGGTTATAGATGGTTTTATTTTATAATTCATTTCCATGTTTCCCCCACTATCTGTGGTACTCTCTCTTTTTATAACACCAAAGCTCAAAAGTATCAATACTATTTCTATTCCGCTTTTTAAAAATTCAACTTGTGCATCTATAACAGTGCTTCTCAACCGTAGCAACTTTAAGATATATGAGTTGAACACCCAGATTGCAGTCATTAACTACAAAGATGCTTCTAATGGCCAGAACTCCAAGGACTGGTCATAACTCCCCCTCATTCTGCGCCATCATAATTTTGATCAGTTTTTGAGCAACTGGTGACAAACTGAGGATTACCTGTGTCATGTTGAATGACGTGACTGGAGGTGCCCATTGTCTGGCACTGTATTGTCAATCATTTAATATTGTCTATCCGTGTGATTTTCTTGGTAAAAATACAGGAGTGGTTTAACATCACCTTCTTCTTCCATGCCTTTGCCATGTCACTAAAATGTTCTGGGATGACCTTCAGGCTTTGGGAGATCCCATGATTACTGTGTATTTAATATTTTTCCTTTCTGTTTTATTGCAATTTTCAAGGCTTGTGTACAGCCAGATACTAAGTAATTAATAGCATTGCTCTTTTGTTGCTGAAAGCACAACACGCACAAAAAAATAATTGGACAGGATATATTTTTTTTAAAGCTCAGCTTAAGAAAGATGTATATAGAAACTGGTGGCCAGTGCAGCCACACAGAGGCTTATTTTCATACAAAGCATGTTATGCTCTATTTAATGCAAAGTGAAAACGTTTCACTCTTTGGAAGGATGAAGCCTATATTTAAAGGCTGGATTTCCCCCCTTTCATTTCTAAGGGAGTGGTTATTCAATAAAGGGCTTTGCTTTTTAAATTACACATTCAAGGCATCTAAATTGGCTTGCGAAATTATAGGACATCTTGATTGTTGTGCTGATGCCCTGTAGATGAAAGTCAGTTATCTTTAAACCCTTCAGAAAGGTGATTTTAATTATAATTAAACATAGTCAATGAGGGTGCAATGAATTTAAGATTTGTAATGTGTTCTTGTATGTGTAAATAAAACAGAATAAAGAGAAGGAATTTAAATCTGTGTCGAGAATAGTAGCTTTGAGATTACAAGAATATTTGCAGTGTCATATAATATTAAAGTGGAAAGCTAAATGAGTAACCTTAATTAGACTGTGATTCTAAACACACTTGCCAGATGAAACAAAGCGAGTTACTTCAGATCAGCATACATAGGATTGTTTGGAATTTACAGTATTGTTGTGAAGTGTGTGAGGATGTGTGTGGGGGGGTGTTATTTCCAGTGGACTTTTCGGTCTTTCAGTGACTGTTTTCTCTCTCTTTAAAACGCAGTTGAAAAAGAAGTGTCAAGTGCTACTAAATTTTTATGACCATAACTCCATATGTCTTCAGAAAGTCATCCTTTTTTTTAAAAAAAAAAATTGCAAGCAATTTATTTTCTTTGGGGAAAAGCAAATTGTGCCGCATATTTTCTAAATCACATGGGCAAAGCTACACATTTATCCCAGCAAATTAATCTTTCTCAGTGAAGCTCTGTTCAGTGTGAAAGGGTTTTCCATGAAGGAGCTGCAGGGAAAATAAGACTGAAGTCTTTACTTAGCAACCACAATTGCTAACTCTATCACTAAGCATCGTGGTCGGTAAGTGAAACATCACTTGAACATACAGACTTATTATGTTATTTCCCATTCAGTCATTACGCAAGTCATCATGGGTCTTTGAGACAATCACGTGACCGTAAGTTGCAATTTGGCTGCCAGCATCTTCATTTACTGTGCTTGTTGGAAGCCCGTTGTGAAACAGACAAATGGTGATTATGTGACCATGGGATACTGCAATGAACGTAGATGCCTGCCGCTTGCAAAGTATTCAAAGTTTTAGATGGCATCCTAAGAGCTGGAAGGTTATCGGAGAAGATGCCCAGAATCTGTGCAGTGGAACCACAATTATGGATAATTTCAACAACTCTTGCATTTAACCATATCAGTTGTGGCTGATGAAGATAATCCTACACATCTGAGATGCAACACTTCCTTGTTCATTGGATTGTATGCTTGATACCCTGTTTCCCCCAAAATAAGACCCAACTGGAAAATAAGCCCTAGCATGATTTTTCACAATGCTCGTAATATAAGCCCTACTCCAAAAATAGGCCCCAGTTAAGATTGTTAGCCAGATGGACACATTTAGTACCGTACTTCCCCAAAAATAAGACTTAACTGGAAAATAAGCCCTAATGTGTCTTTTGGGGCAAAAATTAATATAAGATCCAGTTTTATTTTGGGGAAAACATGGGTAGTTAGAACTGTTTGGTACATCTGAAAAAAGAAAGCTTGAACATTTGATTGCAGTCTAGAATGTGATTGCCACTTGAGTCCCCTTCAACAACTGGCTGGGTGTCCAGTCTCTTTGTGTTGTATGAGGCTTTGTGTATTGTCAAAAAGACCTTGGTTTCATTTCCTTAAGCTCCGTTTTCTAGTCAAAACTTTGTGAAGATTTAGGCCTTCATTCTCGTTTCCAGCAACCTCACTCTTATACAAAAATCAAAGCATACTGGCCGCCATAGAAATATAATTAAAAAATAGAGAATCTTTATTTCCTTAACTTCCCCTATTAATTGTAGCTTAAGTATCCACCGAGCCCAGGTAAATATGTGCTAGAGTTGGAGCAAATCCAGTGGGATGAAGACGCCTGTTGGCTGTTGCCAAAATTCACCTTTATTAAGCAACTTGTTTCTTGCCAACTCATCAGGTCTTAGATCTGGGACGCCTGAAAGAATATGATGAGCCATACATTTTGCTGCAAGAAAAGGAGAGCCTGTTTTACAAGATGGTTCAACAACTGGGTAAGGCTGAAGCTCTCTCCATCCTAGAAACAGCCAAACAGGTAAGGCACGTCCCTTTCTTCATTTTCCCCTCCCCACCCCCGTTTTTCCTCTACAAAATGTTGTAATTAAGTTTGTCTCAAGATTGACTTTCCACACAAGGCAGCATATTCAGGGCTTCAGAAAATCCCACCTTCTCCACTATAGTTAAAGCTCATGTAGCTTTTCAATTATAAAGCCTTTTTTTTTCTCATTCTTTATTACTGGGATTTGGAATAATAGGTACCCAGAGTGGAAAATCATATGCTCCCATTCGCAGAAAACAGCTATGATTGGGATTGTTTTTGTACTTGTGTAGAAGATGATACACAGTTGTGGTGCTGGACTCATTTACTTTTCCCTCTCGGTAAATCCAGGATTATAGTGAAGCTCCATCAAGTTCCCTTGCTTTTGATAAATAAAGCTGCAGTTTTGTACATGAGCGGAGGACAATTTGATGAATGAAATCAAATTTGATGAATAAATTTGCAGTTTAATGCATGGACAGAGGAAACTAGAGGAAAAATTCTTATTGGTTGTAAATATTCAATAACATATATGTGTAATTTTAGTTTTAGTAATTTCTTACTACTCTGATGCTACTGTATTTGTGCCATGAATGAGGCCTACCTATTTAGGTGTAACATTTTTTTCTTCTGTTCAGTTGTTCCTGATTCTTGGAGACTGCCTGGACAAAATTGCCTTGTAGTTTTCTTGCCAAGGTTCTTTACAAATGGTTTGCCATTGTCTCCTTCCTAGGGCTCAGAGAAAGTGACTGGCCCAAGGTCACTTGGTTGATTTCATGCCCAAGGCAGTACTAGAATTCAGAGTCTCCTGCTTTCTAGCTTGATGCCTTAACCTCTATACGAAACTGGCTCTAAATAAACTTTATGACTCTCCAGTCATTGGGGCATATGATTTTTTTTAAAATTTGATTTATATGCCGCCCTTCTCCGGAGACTCATGGCGGCTTACAATGCGCTAAGCAATAGCCTTCATCCTTTTGTATATTTATACAAAGTCAGCTTATTGCCCCCACAACTGGGTCCTCAATTTACCTACCTTAGAAAGGATGGAAGGCTGAGTCAACCTTGAGCCTGGCGAGATTCGAACATGCAGTAATTGCAGGCAGCTGGTCTTAATAACAGGGTGCTTTAGACCATTGTACTACCAAGGCTCTTTTTAAGAGCCTTGGTTTTAAGAGAATGATGGACATCATGGTAAAAAAATCAGATACAAGGGATAGGCAATCATCAGCTTTACTCCTGAAAATTATTGCACCATAGAAATCTAGTGATGAGAAGAATAGTTTTGCCTTTCTCATAATTCTACCAAGTATAAGATCCTGGAAAAACCAAAACAAAAGTTGGCAAGCTGGTTTGAATTTAAATGCAGCCTTTATCATAAAGATGTGGAAAAGCGACTTCTAAGAATAGTGAAATCGCATAACATACATGTCTCTGTCAAATACATGTAAAATTTTTATTAGACCGTGGCTCATCTCTTTATATGAGAAGAACAATTTATTTATAACTTTGCCTGGAGCATCACTCAGTGATATAAATTACAAACAAACAGGCTCCCTGCACTGTTTTCCAGAAACCATAAATATTATTAGGCCTAACTCATGACATATGTCGGCTCAGTGGAAGATAGTGCATTTTGTGTGTTTTAAATAAAACTTTTTGACATTCTCCTTTCTGGGAAAAAAAATACATTTTGAAGCCCCTTTTCACCCAAACACATTTTCCGATAAGAGTACGCAAGTCTTGACATTATTTCATTTTGTTACCCACATCTGTCAGGGAGCAGAGATATGATACAACTACTGAAAACTGATGATTGTGGAACAGTGAAACTTGACAGGATTTCATTTCCTTTATGTTCTGATTATACATTTATCAGGAAACCTGTATCTCTGGCAGTTCAGCTCGAAATTGGTAGAATTCAAGAACTCAAAAGCTCAGCCAAGAACTATTCTATTATTTGGTATCATCTTACATTTTAGAGAAGTTGCTTGCTCGAGCCATTGTTCCTGTTTTCCCTTTCCCTTTCATTATTGTGGCACCCTTTCCCCCAGATCACATTTCTATAAAGCTCTGTGACTCTGCCACATTGCAAATTAAATGCTGGGATATTTCATACATCTATCCTGAACTTTCAATGCTTGTCAATCATAGTTTGTAAAATGCAGGGATTACAACCTTGATATTCACATCCAAATCTATTGTGCTTATTTTTATGTGTGAAAATGGAAAGCCCTTGCGCAGACACTAGATTTCGAAGCAGCTTTGTCACCCTGTTTTTATCTCCATTTCTGAGCCAGTAAAAGGATTTTATTTATCAGTTTAATGTCAAATGATAGTTATCTGTTGATCAGAATTATTAGCACTTTTAGTGGGATAACGACCCTATATGTTGAAATATGTATGCTTTGCTGAAAATGAAGGCAGGTTTATTACTTTTTTAAAAAAAGAAATAAAAGGATTTAAAATGTGTATTCTTTTACCTTTGATATATATTCTTAAGTGACAGGCTTCAGAATAAGCTACCATATAAACCTAACATACAATATCTTCCTTCTTAGGTTTATTTTAAGAAGAATTATCCTGAATTTACTCCAAGTGATCAAGCAGTCACCAGTTCATCAATATCTGAATCTCAAGGACTAATAATTTTTGAGACTGCGCTATGATCTTATGCAATCATTGGGAGGGGGCAGGTTCTCTTTTCTTGTCCTTTTAACAGAATGTAACCCTATCAAAAGACAGACGAATCTTACAATTCATTCAAGCTGTTTTTGCACTGGAATATTAATTGTCACACAAGAAGAAAAAAAATATTTTTAAATAGTCCTTGCTCCTTATATTTACATACAATATTGTTCAGAATTTTTTTAAGAATTGTATTTCTGAAAGTGCCTAATTTTCTGGATTTAGCAAAAAAGAAGCTTGCTCCACAAAATCTGAAGCCCAGTTCTACGATGGATAAATTTGCTCAGGAATTCAGAACTTCCTCATTTGCTCTAATAATGCCATAGCAGAGAGACATTGCACTGTAAGATTCCTGAATGTGCTGCTGTTACATCATCCATGGTCTGATTTATACTTATGTCCTTTATATGGTGTAGCTTTGTTATTCACAGGTAGAGAAATGTATTTGTGTAGTTGTGCTGTTAATTTCTGTTTTTCAATCAGTACAAACTTTCACCCGAATCAGCTTCCTGTGTGAGAATCCTTAAAGCCAAATCTGCTGTATTCCAGAAGCTCAGTCTTTAAAGGAGAAGCAGAATAAATGGTGATGCTTTAACACCGAACACTACTACCCAGACCCATATAATATCTATCCTCTGTTTTTGATCCCCTCGCTCTACTGTGCATTGATAGCCAGTGAGCCGTATTTCATTTAGAGATCAAATAGGGCATACATATTTTTATTCACTGCTGTGCTACCCTTGACACATTGAAACCCCTGGTGCTGGACACCTCTTATAGTTGTAGGACACCTTTCTCAGGTGGGGGAAATGTGGTTTTCTAGTTTTGCACATTAAAAACAAGTTTGGAAAGAGCAAGATCATGGTACCTTAAGACATGTAAATCCTTAAATCCATGGGCAGTTATGCTTAAATTGGAACTTTCAAACTTGGCTGTTACAAGAAAAGAGTTACATCCTTCACTGCAATGTTTTGCAAATAATATTTTACCTTTAATTGGGAAATAATCTTAGTACCACAAACTATTTTATATCTGGCAATTTAAATTTTCTAAATTTTAATAGTTTTAATATAGGCAGTAAAATGCTACCAGAGACAAAGCACTGGTGTCAACAGTAGTTCCCTGCTACTGGTTACATGGATACTTCCCGAGGATCAATCCCAGTAGAAGAAAAATGTGAAAAAATGTAGTGGTATCTATCTGTAAATCAGGGTAAGAGAAGATGCTATTATTCTGTGCAATGCTTCACAAGTATTTCCTTTCAGTAGCATTTCTGTTTGTATATTTTGCCAACCGATACAGGTAAAAAGTTCAATTCTGATTCTACTGTCATCAGTTCACTGTATGCATTTATTGTGCCTTACTGAATCTCAAACCAAGTGTATTGAAAATACATTAATTTAATGATGCTTTGTGAGTTTGCTTTATTTAGAGGGCATTATATACAGCTGCAAGCTACTGCCAATGAACTATTTAGACCAGTATTCCCCATTTTGAGACCCTTTATATCAGGGGTCCCCAACCGCTGGGCCACAGCCCACTACTAGGCCTATTTAGAATTGAGCTACATGAGTGTCTGGCTGGAGTGTGGGTATGTGTGTGCGCGCACAGCTCAACTTGTTGAGCGGTGGGCCAGTAGGCACTCATGCATACGCACACCAGTTCACCGCTCGCATGAGTTGAGCTGCACGCGTGCACGCTGGCCTGCCACTCACATGGCCCAGTTCCCCTCTCCCTCCCAGCCAGGCCGCTAAGCCGCAAAGGTTGGGGACCACTACTCTAAATAAGTTGGGGTGCAGATTCCAGCATTTCCTTCTATGTTGATTTGGAATCATGAAAGGATGACACATCACAGAAGGCAAACAATGAGACTGTGTACAGCAAAACTTAGTTTTTCAACAAACAAAACCACCTTGTATTTTTGTAACACGAATTCTGTATTCTATAGAGAATAGGGCAGATGTAGAGTTCTTTACAGTGGATTCTATATTCTGTACACAAATGAACTACAAATTGAACTAATGGACACTAATAATCTAGTACCCTAGAAGAGTACTGAAGTAATATAGGTGTGTTGCTACACTTCACTGTTCTTTGGATCACATTCATTAGAAGCCAATTTGCAACTGGCCAATTTGCCACTAGAGCTATAGGGCATTTATCTGTTAACTGATAGTTGAGTGTTCACATTAGGCTAATAAGAATGTGGAGGGGAGTACAGGATCCGGGATTCTTCATCTGCTTGCAGGAAAGATGGGTACTCAGAAAGATGGGTATTTAATTAATCACTTCTGCCAGTTGAACAGGTAGGCTGGCGTTACAGGGTTTATAAAAACCTCCTTTGATGCTCCTATTATGTGATAGAGCTACAGCTGTAGATTCTACTTCTAATAATTTAATGCAGTGCAGCACAAAATAGTTTGTGTTGTCACTGTATTCAAATTACAAGATGCTGGAGTGTACTTTTTAACTCTAATATTTTTTGTTGCTGAGATTTGCACTTTTGTATGGAAGTTCCAATGGAAAAGAATACACGTCGCTCGGGGTTGAAGTATGGAGTTCTTGGTGCATCTCAACCAAACGCAGAGAATCCCAAGAACTCCACAGTTTCATGCTATTTGCAAGAGCTGGAAAACCAGCATGGGCCATCTTGCTTCAAGTAAAATTAATCATCAAAAAGATTGTAGTATCTGAACAACTATCATGCTACATATGTGGGCTGACTGGATTTCGTGAATTGAACTAGTCCATAGAAACCCAAATTGAGGGGCTGCCACAAAGAAGAGGAGGTTGAATTATTGTCCAAAGCACTGGAGGGCAGCACAAGAAACAATGGATGGAAACTAATCAAAGAGAGAAGCAACCTGGAATTAAGGAGAAACTTCCTAACTGTAAGAACAATTAACAAGTGGAATAGCTTGCTTCCAGAAATCATGGGTGCTCCATCACTGGATTTTTTAAAGAAGAGTCTAGGCTCTAGACAGTCACTTATCTGAAATAGTATAGGTTCTCCTGCTTGAGCAGAGGGCTGGACTAGAAGACCTCTAAGGTCTCTTCCAGCTCATTCATTCAATTCTATTCTATTTTATTCCAACACCAAAATAAACACATTAGTCTTTAAGATGTCATAAGATTTTGTACTGTGTATTTATAAAGCCATAAAATATTGTCTTTAATAAAATGGAATATACCATGGGCAGGATATATATTGCGCAGCTGTAATCAGATTAACAAATTTATTTACTTGCCTGGAGGATGTGTGGCTTAATCTGTGATTGATACTGGCGTAAGATATCAGGTCAGTACAGTTTATGACCTGTCAAGAAATATGTCATCTATTAATTAATCTTCCAGTTAATGAAAAATTATTTATTTTGATCTGACCCTTCTGATGAAAGAGTTATTACTTAATGTTCTTTATAATGTTCTTCTGTTTCTCCATGTTTCTATACATCTTATTATTTTTGCTCTTTTTTTCTCACTTGCTCAGATGAATTTTCAAATGATCTAGTGAGTCTTCCAAAAGCCCAGCTTAAATTGTTAGTGGATCACAAGTTGTGAAGATATGAATTAAACATAGCAAGGAGCACTAAGTCATGTAACCTATTTTGCTGCAAATAGAAATAATAAGACATTATTATAGTCTAGAGAAGATGACAACTATATCTAATAATAATGGTTGCCTGATTCTCTTCCTCTTATAAATTTAAGCATCAGTATGCTTCAATAAAAATTTAATTGGCCAGAGACAATAGAGTTCTTAATTTTAGTCAATAACGGCTAATATTTTATTTTACTGCAATGTCGATGTGAATATTCACAGTTATTAATTTTAAATGTTAGTATAAAATTGGAAGAAAATATAGGAAGCAAATTGTTGATTCTTTGAAGGGCATTGTTTTTATCTTACTTTATTCAGAACACTTTGAAGTTTTGATTTCCAAGTATTCAGTTCAGATTAGATTTATTAAAGAATTTATAAATGACTCCATCTGCATAGTTTAATAAAAAAGTGTATCATTGATAAGTAATAACGCACTATCTTTGAGACTGTTCCCCAGTGGTGAAATCTAAAATTTGTTAACTACCGGTTCTGTGGGCGTGGCTTGTGGGGGGGGTAATGTGACTGGGTGGGCATGGCCAATTTTTAAACTTTTAAAACCATTTTTTCTACAACCTCTTCGGTGAAGAGGTTGTAAAAAAATGCTTTCAAAAGGCTCTGACGATCCCAGCTGAGTTGCCTGATCGTCAGAGGCTTTTTTTCTTTTAAATGCCTCTGCCGATCAGGCAACTCAGCTTGGATAGTCAGGCATCGTCTTGGATCGTCAGCTTGGATCATCAGCTTGGATCGTCAAACTCAGCTTGACGATCAGGCAACTCAGCTTCGATCGTCAGAGGCATAAAATGCCTCTGACGATCCAAGCTGAGTTGCCTGATCATCAGAGACTTTTTTTCTTTTAAATGCCTCTGACGATCCAAGCTGAGTTGCCTGATCAGCATTTTTAAAAAGCTCAGCTGGGCATGGGGGGTGGGGGGCAGGGATTTTTGATAGCGGTTCTCTGAACCACCCACCTCCATCGCTACCGGATCGGGCGATCCAGTCCGAACCAGGTGTATTTCACCCCTGCTGTTCCTAAATATTTTTCAGCAATAAGGACATGTGCATGTTGTGGTTTATTGATATTTAATATAAACAGTTGTACTTCAGACTGATTCTAAGGTAAATTTGCTACTCCGGGAAGGAAAAAAACCAGAGTGATTGTCTTCAATAGCTTTCCTTTCTGTCAGGGCAGCTAGACTTGCTATATCAGGTTATAAAAATTAGAGTTTTTGGCTTACCTGATTCAATTTGATATTATAGCCTATAGAATGCTAACAAATATGTAAAGTATCTATGAAAATGCTGAATGTGCTGTTTCAACATGTTTTGACAAGATAATTGTGGCTTCATGCAACTGATACCAATGTAACATATACCAAAATGAAAAACATTGAGAGATAAATGGAGACTACCAACAATGATATTTTTTGCTAACAACATTTCTCAGTGCTTTAAATTTTCCATTTTTATTACTTTTTCTTCTTTCTATTTAAGGAATGTGACAGCTATGGCTTAGATCCAAACCCCTGGCTGATAACTGAAATTGCTGATATTCCTAGTAACTTCACGACATTGTGAAACTTCACAAGACAGTTGTGAATCTAGAGCAGACAAATAATTAGTAACACAAATGTCCACAGGCAAACAGGGTGGATTTCCCCTGAGCTTGGTTGTTTTCTTGCACACATTTCATTACCCAAACTAGCACTGATGATGTGCTTCCTTTGGGTCATGAAACGCCTGCAAGAAAACAACCAGGCTCAGAGAGCACCAAGGACCTCTCATTTCAATAAGAATATTGTAAACAAGAAAATGGTAAGAGAACACTTGTCTGATCTAGATGAGTTCAAATCACCAGGACTCAACGGATCAAATCCTAGAGTTCTGAAGGAGCTGGCGATGTTATCTCAGAACAATTGAACTAGGGGTGAAATCCAGCAGGTTCTGACAGGTTCTGACAGGTTCTGGAGAACCAGTGGCGGACATTTTGAGTAGTTTGGAGAACTGGCAAATACCACCTCTGGCTGGCCCCAGAGTGGGGTGGGAATGGAGATTTTGCAATATCCTTCCCCCAGGAGTGGGGTGGGAATGGAGATTTTGCAGTAACCTCCCTCTAGAGTGGGGTGGGAATTGAGATTTTGCAGTATTCTTCCCTGCCACGCCCACCAAGCTACGTCCACCAAGCCACACCATGCCCACCAAGCCACGCCCACAGAACCGGTAGTAAAACAAAATTGGATTTCACCTCTGAATTGAACCATATCTTTCAAAGATGCTGGAGTGTTGGGGAACTATCTAAGGACTGGAAAAGAGCTGATGTGGTCCCCATCTCCAAAAAAGGAAAACAGAGCCAGGAAACTACAGACCAATCAGCCTGACAAAAATACCTGGGAAGATCCTGGAAAAAATATCAAGCAACAAATCTGTGAACATCTAGGAGCAAGCAAAGTTTTAACCAGAAGCCAATATGAGTTTATTGAAAACAGATCATGCCAAACAAATCTTATTAAATTAATGGACCAGCGAAATTCTGTGGACATACCACTAGTATATTTGGATTTCAGTAAGATATTCAACAAAGTAGAACACAACCTACTTCTTGGTAAGCTAAAAAAAAAAAAAAAGATGGACAGCATCACTACCAGATGGCACTAAACTGGCAGGAATATCCAACAGCCCAAATGATAGGCTCAGGATCCAAATGGAGCTTGACAGACTTGAACACTGGGCCTCATCCAACAAAATGAAAGTTAATGTAGAAAAACATCAGGTTTTACACTTAGGCAGGAAAAACCAAATGTACAAATA